AACAAGGTCAGTTGGTATAATATAGTTCACAAAAGACAATGTTCTACATTCTAATTTGGTTGAGTAACGACTACTGTTTTAAAAGCTCATGAGCAACTATCTAAGGTCTCTCCCCATCTAGCATAAAGAAAAGTGATAAAAATCAATCCAGAGATAGGGGGGAGTGCGGAGTGGAGACCCAAAGCCCATTAGTAGGCCACTGGAGATCCCCTTGCAGAGGGGTCTCGGGGAGGAGATGAGCCAGTCACGGTGCGATGTAACAATGATGAGAAATACAACCTTCCTCTAGTTCCTAAAGGTTTCCTCCCCGCTCCCACTACCATGACTCGAATTCGATCTTGCAAGACTGGCTAGACCAGAGGAGGTACACTGGTACAGATAGGAACTGAAAATACAGGGAATCCAGGACGGATGAGCCCTATAGGACCAGTGGTGTGAGTGGCAAAACGGGGAGGGTAAAGGGAGAATGGGTAGGGAAGAGGGAACCGATTACATGGAGCTGTGTGTGACCTCCTCCCTGGGGGACAGACAACCAAAAAGTGGATGAAGGGAGACGTCGGACGGGGCAAGATATGACAAAATACCCATTTATAAACTATCAAGGGCTCATGTGGGAGGGGGGAGCGAGGAGGGAGGGGAAAAATGAGGACCTAGTGTCGGGGGTTTAAGTGGAGAGAAAATGTTGTGAGAAACGATGTACAAATGCGCTTTACACAATTGATGTGTGTATGGATTGGGATAACAGTTGCATGAGCCCCTAATAAAATGTTAAAAAAAAAAAATCAATCCAGAGAAATACCTAGTAAAATGGACTAATGGACCACACCAACACTAGTAACCATAACCCTAAGTGTATTTGGAATTCGTTATATCAACTCTTATCAACCTCCGTATCACCTCACAAGCACGCCCACCATTTTCACTTTCATGCCACTATCTTAAATTATACACACCTCTTGCCTGAATTTTTCTATGAGCTTTCTTTTTGGTTTTCACTTCTATCTTTATTATTCTTTATCATCATAAAAGGACTGACAACTCATATCACAACTGAAAAGGATCACATTAGATGGTCATGCATACAGTAGCGGAAAATACAGAACAGAATTCAAAATCATAAGATGCCAGGCTTAATGGTCAGATAGACACTTGTGGGACACCCCTCCCTCACCAAGGTCTGGAAGTCAACTCACTCAGTGTTAAAATAACCAGTCACTTAAGATCCAAATAGCAGCATTTATCCAAGGACAAAGTTAAGAAGGTTAAGAAAGAAGGAAGAATGCAAAAAGGAAATAAAGGATGTGGGATTAGTGACGGTACCTTGAAAAGAGCTATGGATGAGTTGAATCAGAATGTGTGAACTGTTGAAATATAAAGAAACAATCTGGTTTATAAACAAAGGGGCAGTTCTCCCCTGTACTACAGGGTCCCTATGGGTTAGCATCGACTCGGCAGTGGGAGAGTTTGAGATAAATCACCTAGCTCACAATAAATAATTTTAAATTTATTTAAATATAAATACAATAGACTAGCTCCTGTCAGATAACTGTCCCTCTGAAGTGAAATGTTTTGAAAATCCTAATGGCAATATCTCCAAAATGTACTTGTAATTAATTATATCAATTCTTATCAAACTCCGTAACACCTCACAAGCTCCCGGAATATTTTCACTTTCATGCCACTATCTTAGGTCATATACACATTACATGCTAGCCTGAATTTTTCTATGAGCCTTCTTTTTGGCTTTTACTTCTATCTTTATTATTCCTTACTATCATGAAAAGATTGACAACTTATATTCCTTTATTATTTTAATATTAGAACTGTAGGAAACTATTTGCACAATGTCTATTCTCTTTATGTAACACTTTAAATGCTAGACAATAGGATGAGAGGTATTAAGAATGAAGTCTTTTGCTAACATATATACAACGGCTACAGAATATGAGCTTATTAACTAGTCTCCCCAACTTGAGTCTTTCTAGCTGCCAATCATTTTACAAAATTCTGCCAGAATAACTTTCCGAAAGGACACAATGATAGAGGCTCTTCTGAAAAGCTTTGTTTACTGAGGATTTACTGTGTACGTGTACTGAACTGCGACCCACAAGATCGGTGATTCAAACTCAGCAGAGGTTCTACTCTATCGGACAAAAATGAAGCTATTTGTACCCAGAAAGATTTAAAGTCTTAGAAACCCAAAGGGGCAGTTCTACTCTGTCCTATAGAGTTGCTGTGTGTCTGTATCCACTTGGTGGCAGTGAAAAGTACTTAAAATGTCCTCATGTCTCATTTAACCCTCATTAGAACCCTATCTTTCCAATTTGTATTTCAAAGATAAGTAACTTGTCCAGTGTCAAAAGCTAAATGGCATACAGATGGGACTCAAATTGTATTATATCTGAGTCCAGGATCCTTTAATTCTATATGGTGATGTTGTGGTTATGCATTGGACAGCAGGTCAGCATGGTCGGCAGTTCAAGACCACCAAGAGTTCTGAGGGAGAAAGACTGGGCTTTCTATTCCCATGAACAGTTACAATCTTGGAAACCCACAGGGGTCAGTCACTATGCACCAGCACTGACTCAATGGCAGTGAGTGAAGAGTTTTCATTCTACAGAACATTTCAAATCCGTTAGCCTGATATGGTTCCCCCTTGACTCAATGACTTAGTTCTTGTAGAAAATGGTCTGGGAGCCACATTTGATCTGTGACTTTCAAGGCTGATTGCCAAGAAGCAGAATTCAGACCGCTACCCTCCATCCCTTCTTCCCTATCCTGAGACCAACTGCCCCTCCCACAGTACTCTACATCTGTGGCTGGAAGTCTGATCATTTATTGCAATGGCCACTCAGAACCCACAGGCAACATTCATGACTATAGGGTCTATTAGGGAAGTTAACAGGTTGCAATTGAGGTGAGAAATGCCCAGGATACAGTCAGGACATTCTCTTCTCTGTGGGCAGGTTTCTCTCTAGCCCTCAACCACTTTGCCTAGCCTCTGCCCTGATCAAAGTTTTTTAAAAACACAACAAACCCCAAATAAACTCACAGAAGTGCCCGTATGAATTTCTGAGACTATAACTCTTTATGGGAGTAGAAAGCTCCACCTTTCTACTTCAGAACGGCTGATAGTTTTGAACTGCAGACCATGCAGTTAGCAGCTCCCCTCGTAACTACTATGCCACCAGTCTCCCAATAAATGCCCAAAGGGCATGCCACTCCACTGTTAAGCCTCAACCTGAAGACACTCAGCTCCAGATGTTTGGGTTAGCAAACTCAGCTCTCCCAATTACATGTCCACAGACATTCTCCTGCTCCAAAGCACTCTACTTGCTCTGTGAGATAGGAGGTCCACTGCTCTGTCTCAAGCTGTCTCCTGGTTCTGCTGCTGCTGCTTCTCCTCTGCTGTCCTTTTTTTTTTTTTTTT